GAGAGAGAGGGAGAGAGAGAGAGAGAGAGAGAGTTTATTTCCTCAAGCGTACGTCAACATGTTTATTACTAACGAGCCCGAAGGTGTCATCCTACAACCGGCGATTTCCTTTGACCGAAATTCCGCCGCAACCACTTTACCCTGGGCGCAGCACGACTCACGCAGCGCCTTCGCCTGTCGCCCCGCGTCGAACCCACGACCCCGGCCGCGTCGCAGCCTGTTAACGAGCCCATTCCCCGCAGGAGCCGTAATAACTTCCATTTCCGTCGACCTTAAGCCTCGTTATGTTCCAGCGACGGCTTTCCAAGCTGCAAATAGCCTTGAAGAATAAGCACAAGAGACCTGCCGCCTGAATCGTAAGCTCTTCCTTGCATTGCCTAATAAGAGTGTTGCGGAGTGCTTAGATGAGGAAGAAAAACTACGAGCGGATACCTGCTCATAAAAGGATTACCACTGACCTACTCTTGATCCGTCGATGTTGCTCTTCGCGGATTCGAAAATATTTTTGATGTAGACCACCATAAACGACCCTTTTCGATACACTAAATGTTTCGTTGAGTGGCATTTTATGGCGCAAATAGTAATGTCACGTCGTCGTTCGTTCGCTTTTATTTTTATTTTTTTTTGGTGGGGGAACAAACTAAAAACATGTATGGCTTCTTCTTTAATACGTGTCATACTCGATTGTACACGACAATACAAGGATAAAGCGTAAACCATATTTATCAGTTCTCATGTTTAAAAAACTATAATACCGAATAAAAAGTATTCTTACCAATTTTTTTTCGGAATCAAATATAACATTGTGTAGCATTAAAAAAAAACTAGAGCTTGTATCAGAAACAGTGTTTAGACGCGGAAGAAAAACTCTACGATCAAATATCTGCTCATAAAAGGATGACAACTGACCTACTCTTGATCCGTCGATGTTGTTCTTCATGGATACAAAAATATGTTTGGTGTCTAGATTACCATAAACGACCCTATTCGATGCACTAAATGTTTCGTAAAATGGCATTTTATGGCACAAATAGCCACGCCACGTCAACTCTTATTTGGTACAAAATAAAAACATGTTTGCCTTTTTCTTTAATACACGTCACACTAGTTTGTACAAACAAGACATTGATAAATCATAAACAATATTTAACAGTTCTCATACTAAAAAACAATATTATCTAATTAAAAAATATCCCGAAAAATGAAAAGACTAGTTTTGGTATCAAATATGATTAACCAAACTGCTCTGATAGATATGAAAGTACAGAAGTCTCGAATGTTACATTCAATTTCCATTTTCTCGTATAATTATTGCATGAACACCCACAATTGTGAAAAATAATACTTACCACTAAACACTTCAGTTCTGAAGCGGATTCCTTTGGCCACTCAGCAATATCATTCTGTAACAACGGAAAAAATTGTTATTTAATTTTTTGGGACAATTTTTTTCAAGATTCATACTTCTTTTATATACATACATTTACTCAATACAAGTTTTGCCCAAAAGTAATGTCCAGTTCTTAGTTCTGAAAAAAATGAATAAAAACAATTCAAAGTTTCTCGTGAAATTGTAACATTCGTTAACTTTTCAGTACAAATAAGTTGGCAACAATAGAAATATTACAAATTCTATTTATTCTCTGTTAAAGTCTTTGACGTCTACTAGTACTGACATCAATACAGTTAAAATATTATTAAAAACTCTTCTTGTAGGTCGCGAGATCCGCATGTCACAAGATCATTGGAATAAAGATTTGCAATTCACGTCGTATACCTAATGAGACACTGATAGATTGACTTCGTTACACTTCAAGGTGTTTCCACTTGTCTCTCTTGTCCGACTGTAATGCCACCACCTCATGCAACTCAAATGTGTTTATTTCACAAGCCGCTTACAGGGTACTTCGATCAAGTGACGTTCGTTCACAGCTGAATGAAGGCTGACAATCCTGAAGAAAGACTAACTGGATGCCATACAGATGCAAAAACCAGGTACAACCACAAATAAAATAGAAGCAACTAAACGTATTTTCAGAAATAGTCCAGCGCTATTTTCAGAAATAGTTGAACAATGATGAACGGATATTTAATATCTTAATACATGTGTATTTGTAGCACATAATGAACCTCAACTAATTTATTGTCATTAGGGCAAATTAGAATCATTTATCGCCGGGTTGTGTGGCGAAGATGTGTTTGACCTTTTTTTTTGCTGCCATCTGTAACACCACTCGCGAGCTCCGACAGTCGTAGATGTAGTCGGAAGACTCTGCCTTAAGCATGGTTTTGAAAAGTCCAGCCGGTACGACCTCCGAACGCTTTCCATTGCTATTTCTTAGAAGAAAATAGTGTTTTCTACCACTAACTTACTTTTACATCGTGAAGTCTTGTAAGACAGTAGACAAGGAAACCAATGAAATAAATTCTTGGTCTTAAGTCACACATGCACAATACATTTCTGGTCATGAGTTGGCTATTACAATCCTTAGCTCTCAGGGCGCTGGGGATTGTGGTCGGTGTTTTCTGAGAAGCAATAGTAGGCATAGATGGCTTAACTGTGCTTACGCAGTGTCTTCTTGTGTATCAAGCTTGTATTTTAAGGCTCTTCGAGTGCACAGACATAAAGGCATTACTCTAAGAAGGGACCACTTTGAAAGGTTGGGAGATAAATGTAGCTTCTCATAGTAATCTCTGCATATCAAATTCTGGCCACCTGTGTGCAATACATCGCGAAATAGACGTAGATTGCATATCTGTGCATTCGCAGTGTCTCTCTTCTCGCCCATCTCGTTCACATTAGAGAATTTTTGCACGTCATAGCTGGCAGCACTCGACTGCAATCTCCCATCTTCTGCGCAAGCGCAGATGCACTAAAGTGATGCGAAACTTGAACTGCGATCTATAGCGCTTTCTATTGTTTTAACGTTCAATGGTTCAAAAACTTTCTATTTTAAGGCTCTTCGACTGCACAGGTACATATTAAGGCATTACGAGGCATATTAAGGCATATTACGAGGCATATTAAGACATGACATATTAAGGCATTTCGTACTCTAAGAAGGGATCACTTTGACAGGTCGGAAGAGGTAGCTTCTTATAGTAATCTCTGCATATCTTGAGCGAACTTAAAGGCTGCACCTGTGTACAATCCATCGCGAGCGGTGTCATAACACGTCCGGCGCGGTGCGGCGCGGTGCGGCGCGGCGAGGTCGCGGGTTCGCGTCCGGCGAGTGCTCCGCCTGCCTGCCGGCCGGTGCGCTTTCTCAGCGCGCGTGGTGGGGCAGTGCGGGGGTGGAGGGGAGGGGGCCGTGGAAGGCGTGGCACCCTTGGCCTCCTGCGTTTGCGTCACTCCGCTTCCTCCGGCGGCGGCGGCAGGCAACTTCCCCTCCGGCAACGGAGGGGAAGTTGGCGCGATTAGACGAAATCCGCGATTGGACGGGGCAGATTCTAAGCCGTTGAATTCCACGGAACGGCAGTTCTATACTTCGATTTAAACATCAAGAGTCCGTTGGCGTTTAATCTGCTGCTACGGTGTCGGGAGCTTAAACGTCACTACTGTTGTGATGTTCCCGATTGGGGCTTAACCGTAATAGGCGATTAAATGTCAAAGGACAGTATGTTTAAATCGCATTATACTGCTCGCTTAAAATTACGATCGCCTTCCACACTTGTCGACGGATTTCTAGATCGGTAGGGATGGGCCATTCGAGGATAAATGAACAACCCAATGCTCGACCCTACAACTCGTTGATTGATTGATAGTGATTTTGGGCGAGTGACCTAAAGATCATTAGTCCCGCAAGTTTAGTGCAGTTTTCCCACGGGATGTGGCGGTGATCTTTCTCCCGCTGTATGGTGAGATCCGGCGCCGACCTATCGTCAACTAACTGAGGTTTCTCCAACCAGGTATCTTCAACAAGCGGGGCACTGCATCAGCCAGGTCAAGCTCTATGCTCCCGATCGGACTCGCGGCATGTGTAGAGCATGTAAGTGTATGTGTGTAAGTAAGGTGTGGATAGGATAAGGAAGAGGAAGGAAAGATCGCCCGCGGTCGTGCTTTTGTTACGGTATTTGCTATTTAAGATCGGATTAACCTGCATTTTGCTAGCTGGCGGAGTGCCGCGATCTGAGCCCTATTTTTATTTATTATCCACTCTTGGGGGGAAAGGGAGATATGTGGCAAGCATTCCCTTCACCGTACCTAGATTTCTTGGCCTTCATGAGCCTTCTTTCGTCACACAGCTATAACAACTGATTTGTATTAGAAAGCTACAGCTTTATTTTTGCCCCACCCGGGGAATCCAACCCGGGACCGCCCGACAGGAAGCTAGCTCGCTACCCACGAGCCGCACGAGGGGCTTAAAGTGTGTTATCATGCTAAATAATATACCAACGAATACAGGTCCTTGCACCAAACTTGGCACCTCATTGGTGCATGCACAGTACCAGCCTTATCCTGCCATCTGGCGCGTTCCAGTCAACTCTGACCGTTGTCACTTTTGGACACTTTCATAACTTATAACGGAAACGATAGCATTGTACTGTTGTTGCATTCAGTAAACGAAAACCAACTTATTTAAAATGGATGTGCTGAGAGAGTTTACGTCTTCGTTTTACGGTAAAGTGCCTTTATGTTAATAAATTCACCTTCAAATGTTTTTTTTTTAACAGAAGCTCTGCTCCTGCTAACTGCTTCCGCCTTGCAAGATTCTGAGTTCAGTGAATGTGACAGATCTCTGTCTCTCTCCCTCTCTTTCTCTCTGTATCTGTCTCTCTGTCTTCCTGTCTCTGTCTCTCTGCCCCTCTCTGTCTCACTCCCTCTCTCTCTCCCTCTCTCATCCTTTCTCTCTCTCTCTATCTCTCTCTCTCAGGCCCTCTCTCTCCCTCTCTCAGGCCCTCTCTCTCCCTCTCCATCTTCCTCTCTCTCTCGCGCGCACTACCCTCCCTCCACACCAAGCGCCGTACAACGATCTGCATCCCGGAGGTTCCCGTAATCTGCAGTCCGCTTTGCT